CCCCAAAACCCCAAAACCCCAAAACCCCATCTCTAATGTTTAAATTCAACATTTGATTACCATTTTTAATAAATTACTACTATAATTAGGGAAATAGACTCATTGCTTTTAATTTAATGTTAAAGTTAAATTAAAGTTCATTTTAAGCATTTTTTACGTGGATAGCAGTGTCTACTAAGTTCAAACAAGATTAACAGTATAGAAGTTTAAGTATTTAGCAATGTAAGAGCCTGTAAGTTCAAGGAATGCTAGTCCCATATGATTCATTCTATTGAACATAGTCTCTGTGTCAGCCTTAGTCGATTCATGTGATGCATGCTATGTGAAGAATTTTGCAATCTATGCTCTAATTAGACTTACAGCATCCATATGATTAAGGAATACCTATAAACCATTATTGTCATTAGAAGGAAGTAATGGGCTTCTGTTATTCTTCAAGCATTCCTAAAGTTAAATTATTATAATGTAACTAAGAACTTACAAGATCTGTTTTGATTTCAACAAAGGCTTATTCATTATGATCACCAGCAAGAACATCTAAAATTAACTTATTGTAAATTGGGTCAGTTTTGTCCCATAGTATCTGATAATATGACTGAATGAAATACTCCACAAGAGTCTTATTAATAGAATAGCTTTGTGGCTAAGTCAATAGTAACTTCAAATGCAAGTCTCCCTAATTTTCAGGCTGGCTAATGACCTTCAAAATGTCTGATTGCAACTTTACCTTAGGATTTTAAATGTCTAGCCCAATAAAAGCTAATTGCTTTTAAATGTGTGACAAAGCTTAATCATCAGTTGCCATGTAAAATCTATCCTGCTTCATGTAGCTTAGATATTCTCTTAATAAATTCTTCACTTTAGCTTGAGTTAGATGTACTTCCCCATTAGTGGTGAGTTTCATTTCTTGATATATCTGAAGTCCTAGAATAAATTCTCCTGAGTCACCTCCTGGTGTAGCGAGATATGTCCCACTAATTCTCCCATCTAAGGACTTAAAACCATTCTCTAGGACTCTAGCCATTGCTAAAGTTGTAGGAGTGTTAATCAGCTCTCTGATTTACTATTCAGTTGCACCCTCTCCCTGAGTTTCCTAACCATTATTGTTCATTTATGAGTTTATATTGGTGTACTTACCATTTTTATTTTAACCTAGGAAGGATTGCAAGTCTCGAGCACTTGCGTTTTTGGGAATTCAAATTGCTCTTGCTCTTGCGCTTTTGTTTGATTTAATACGTTTTACTATATTTCCTGACATTTCTGTTCAATTATAGGCTCTAAAATATCAAATAAGCTGTATTGTATTACTGTAACATTCACATTTAGCCTCATAGTCATCTCCTAATATTTGAGTTTCTCCTGTAACTTTAAGAGGATTAGTCTCTATATAATAGCTATATTATAAAAATCATACAGGGGATGTCAAGTGAAATTTAAGATGATTGGCTTTTCTATGAAAATTAATTTAAAATCAAATGAAGGGTGATTGAATTACTTGTTCGAGTGAATTAGTAGCACGTGCTATTGAAGTGAAAACAATAAACGATACTATTTTTATCATTTTAAATATATATTATTCATACTAATAATTAAATTTATTAATAAATTTTCTTAATTTCTTATATTCATATAACTTATTCTTATTTGAAACCACCAGCTATATAATTAATCTCTAGCTCTTCAATAATCAAATGGTTTTTTTCCTTCGTTATTTTTAATCTAGGTATTCGCTCCATTTTTCAACAATAAATCTTCAACAGCCGTATTTTGATTGATTAATGCATAATGAAGTGGAGTATTCCCCTGCTTGTTTATAGTATTAGCATCTGCATTTTTAGACAAAAGCAAGCGGATAATATCTGGCTAGCCTAGCTAGGCTGCCAAGTTTAGATAATCATTACCCTTAGAGTCTCTAAAGTTAAGATTGAACTTATGCTTTTTCATCAAGTGCTCAGCCAGGATGTAATTTTAATCCTTTAAACTTCTCATTATTTTCAATTCTATCTGATTGCCCTAATTCCTCTAAATACTATCAAACCTATAAATCATAATGAATTGGATAAGAGTACATACATCTATTTGCTTTTAGGTTTTATAACTAAATGAGAATTGTGAGAGTCATTTGAGACTATAGAGATAATTTTATTGTCTAGTTCTTTTTCATAGAGATTTGAGTTCATTCGCTATTACTTTGGCTAATTCCCAAACATAGATGACTGCTTTCTGACACGAATGACTTATCTTAATTTTGACTAAAATATTAATTTAAAGCATGAGGACAATACCTTTTCAGTTGATATAGAGTCTGATAATTGCTAGCTCTGAGAATATTCATCAATTTTGTTTTGATCTTCCAGATCTAAAATCTCTATGTTTATTCCGTTTTCTTATCTATAACGTATATTATTCTTATGGCTGTTTTAATTTCCATTGCTAGCTTTTTCAGCAGACTTTTCATCAATCACAAATATGTTCCTCTAAAGCAATATAGACTTTCTTTGTCTCTATCTTATACTCATTTCCTCAGAGGATAAACTGCTCTCATTCTGCTTGCTATCAGCATACTTTAGCAAATGTTCATCTAAATCATCAGCGTTCTCCTCAGTTTGCAGACTATTCAGCAGAAGTTCATATCTGAAATCATTATTAAAAGCTTCCCTCTCTAATTCTATAGAGTTCTTACCCTTTCTTCTGAAACTGTATTCCTTAACTATTTTCTCTTTGAGTTTCAAAACTTCCTTCTTAATTATTGGATCATACTTTGATGTCTAACTTGTATCAGAATCATACACTCCTGATGATAGCTGTATATAGTAGCCACCCCTTCGATTTTACTTAGTTCTTAGTCTGCGATGATACAAAATCTTATCAATTGAATTCTATCTTTTCTATTGTAAATCAAATTCAAGCTTCAAATCAACTCTTTCCTTTTATGCTTTTTATCTTTCTTGGTTATCTTCCTCCATTTTTTCAATCTAGTAGTCCTCAATATCATTAATGTCCCTGATCTTGCAAGCAAAAGACCCCTTTCTCTAGTAATTCTCCTCCAGATAATAAGACGATTGCTTTACTTCATTAAAACAGATAATAGCCAGTCTTTGCTTCTTAATGAGAAATCTGCGGATTTAAAGGCCTAGAAAAGTTCTGAAGTCTTAGCCATTTCTATGAGACTTTTCTCCATCTTAAAGATATTATTCATTTTGCTATTCCATGTGACTCTCCTGTTCAAAAAACTTATGGATTAGAATGAATAGCATTTTCCTGAATCCTCTTTGCAGCTTATTTCTCAGCATATTTTTGTGCTGCATTCTAAAGAACTCGTAGCCAATAAAGTCATCGTCGTTGTTTTTGAATACTAGTTTATACAGAAACTCATCTGCCAGTCTTACAATCTAGCTATTTTCACCAATCACATCATACTTAGTGGGTTCTTCGAAGAATATTAACCGCTCGTACTATTTATCTATTTCAATTTCATCAGGTATAATTATTTTCTAGGCTTTATCTTGTCGTTATACTGCTTTTCCTATTCTCCTAGTTCTTGTTTTTCGAACTAGTTGTCTATATCTCTTGAATATCTGCTTGATATAGTTCTCCTTCAGCATCATTTCCTAGACATAGATGTACTAGGGCATGTAGATAAACTTTTACAGCTAGGAGAATGAGCTCTAAATATGATTTCTTCTGCCTCTGAATATAGAATTAATGTCATTAATTCGATTAGCTTCTAACAACTTGAATTATCGATCCTTTTCCATATGGCTATCAAGCAGGTAATCGCATATAATATCGTATTAAATTTCCCCATTGAAGATATACTGGTCAATAAAATGCTTATAGTCTGGATAAATCTTGTTATAAATTCTTCTAAAATAGTACTGTGCCTAGCTTCCTATTTAAGCATCTTAAGTATCTGCATACCTAGTGTCTATTATGTCCTTGAGAATTTGAAATGGAGTTTTGTATTCAAGCTTAAGCTCGCATAAATTATTCATAGCCTCGTCAGTCAATTCTCCATTGGAGTTTATTGTTTGAAGCATCTCTTTATTATTGTAATAAACACTTAGCCTAGGAGACTATTTCGCTTAAATTAAATCAGCATGCTTATTTGCTGATTAGTTTTTTTCATAAATACCAAGAAAGGTTGGACTCTTTAATAATTAATGCTGTTCAATGATGTCCTCTCTTCTACCACTACTTTTCTCATCATCATTTTACGATATTGATTTCTTTATATTCAGATTAATGTGCTTGACTTGAACTGTCTTGAAATGATCTTGAGAAAGCTTCTTCTTCTTTGGTTAAATTAGGATTTCAAAATTGTCAAAGTACTTTACTCCATAGCTATGCTCGAATTGAGCTTTGATTTTTTTAATTGATATACATGGTATTTTACATTGAAGTTCGAACTGATCAAAGTCATTGTTTTGCTTCATTTTGACTATATGTTTTTTAAACTAAAAGGGAATCGCAGTTGCGATTTAGTATTATTTCTCTAACTTTTTGAAATATTCCTCCTCTACAATAAAGTAATTCAAGTAGAACTTTTCATTGAAAGGTTTGTTTGTCAACTATCTTTCGCGTATTATATTTTAGATGATTGAGGATTTATCAGATTTCAGCAATGTTATATCTCTGACCCTCTTCACATCTGTAAAGACAAATTGCTTAACGACGTTCCTCTAAAAAGCTCTCTTGAATAACTGATTCTGATTCTGTTATCTATAAAAGTATTCATCGACTCTAATTGGCTTGGTAAGACCTTTAATGCCTTCAAATATGATTTATGTCGACATCTCCTGCTTCTACTCCAAAAATAACTCTCTCTGATGCCTCCTTAAGCAATCTTTTTCCTCATTCATAAACTATAATAGCATTATACCAATCTCGTTAATTTACTTATCCTTTTTCAGCTTTTTTCCAATAACTAAGTTTAAAAAATTTGGTCATTTTTTGCTGATCCTAGATGTTTGAGAAGTGTAGTCTTCTTCTGTTCTGGTACTTGTAGTTAAGCATGGCATTTGCTACCTCGTAACTACTAAGGACTAAATTTTCTGCTTCAAGCCATCTCATCTTAAGATCTAGCATTGTTGATTTAATACTCAAGCTATCAAAACTAAACTTATCCTTATTCGACTACTATGGACTATTCTACTTGCTTGTATTAAAATTTCAATGCCATTTCTTTTTCTTAACAATACCTTTGAATGAGTCCAACGCTTACTACTCAAGCAGTTTCTATTGCTTGAAGCAAAACTCATCAAGTCTATGGCCTTCGAAAGTGTTTTCATCGAACTTGTAATTGAACCTGCTCTTCCTTCTTCTATGATGATTATGCTAAGAACAACTCTAATGAGTCATAATTGATTCTTAGAGACTTGTTCTTTTGCTCTGTATTTTGAACTTTTTGAATTAATGAGTTGAGTTCATTTAATTATTTTAAGACGGGTAGAGTTTAGAAGTATTGCTTATAGAATTAGAATTAGCTCTTTCCCTAGATTGATTTTGAGATACTGGAGCCTACTTTATACTTTTTGGAAGTGTGATATTGATGATTTCGTTTATGAGTTCATTCTTTGATTTAGATTAGTCATTAATTAGACTTGTTTGATTCATTTATCTTCTTAATAGCCTGATATTGCTGATTAACTTTTCATTGTTATACTATGTATCAAGTGATGTTGGAATAGTACTCTTTTGTGAAATTATCTTCCTTTAACTTGTATTAGGAGACATCAGAGCACTTTATGATAGCTTAAACTTATCCTTAACATTTTCTATCTATTTAGTAGATTTCTAAGGAGACTTTGATTTTCTTGGTCTCTCATTGAATATTTTTTAGTCAAGATACTAAGTCATGCTTAGCTCAGGAAGTCTTTCCTAGCTAGTTGAAATCTGCTAAGCCAATTACTGATTTAAAAGCCTTTGATTCTTGATTGCCTCATTCATTTTTTCTAATTTCTTTTGAAACTTCTCGTATATTTTTTAAGGGCTGTTTTTTCTTGAAGCTCGATTTCTCTGAGATTGATTAAGCTGCACCTATTAATGCAAGATTTAAGTTGTTGTGTTCTAATTGCTGCTACTATTGTTATTTTAATTGCTGTTAGTGTTAAAATCCTAGTTGGTTGATAAGGCTTGTTGATTCGTATAATTGTGTAGATTGACAGAATTGTTTACAGATCTGTTTAGCTAATTGGCTTATTTTTCCCTAGTTTTTGCTGAAAAGTTTAGAGCAGAATATGAGCTTTGCCTTAGCTTCTTTTGCATCTTTGAGTTTTTAGATGATTCCGGTGTACCTAAACCACCTAGAACAGAACTTGACTAATTCAAGGCATTCTAGCTGAGCAATCCTGTGGCATTAAGTGCATTAGAGCTACTAGAAATGACACCAGTTTAATTCATACTGCTCTTTGGCCTCAAATTCCTCAAGTACATGTTCTTCATTTCCTTAAGATTGATCTTCTTACTTGATTATTCATTCAGTTTGAGCAGTTAAGGTTGCGTTCCACTTGCTCCCAAGCCGATTCCTGATTTTGAAGTTTGAGAAAAATCAGATCTTCCAAATGGTATATTTACAAAGTTCAAATCACTAATAGACTAATTATTCGTGAAGTTATCTAATTCATTGGCATAATCTTTGCTATAGATATAGATCTAAATACTTAGGATTTTTACTTAAAGAATTTAGATTGAGAGATATTTGGGGTTTCAGGCCTGTTATAAAAATGTGCAAGCAGACCTCTCTTTGTCTTTTCTAAGTCCATCATTTTCATTTTCTTACTTCAACACTTATTTATAACTTTTCACTTATAATTTTTCTTAAGTCTAGCTGATCTAGATTGCATGGGGTTTTGGGGTTTTGGGG